CCTGAGAAAGAAGGATGAAACTGCATTATATAAGTAATATAAAAACGTAATGAAAAAGAAACTAAACTTAATCATAATCACAGCTGCAAGTGGTCAGGCAAGGTCACAGACCACCAATATGTATTCCTGCACAAGAACACACTACACAGTACAACCCTCCACTGCAGGGCTCTTGAACACTTCTAAGACTACAGGACTAAGAGTCTACAGGCACGGCTCTGTGCAGCCTACTCAGACACAGTGGTGTTGTGAACTAAATGCTAACGTCAGCATGCTGACATGTTTAGAGTGCTAACTAACATGCTGACGTTAAGCAGGTATATGTTTACCATATTCACCATCTTAGTTTAGAATGCTTATATTAGCTAGAAATAAAGCTGAGGCTGATGGGAATGTCAATACAGGTATTGTACAAATTTAAATGTTGACCTATTGAAGTCAGTTTATTTACAATTCATCCTGAGGGAGGCATACACGTGTGCCAGGTATCATGGTAATCCATTCAATAATTGCTATTAGAAAGGTCAGGTGATCATCAAGTCATACATCATCTGGGGCAATTCATCTAGTAGCTGTTGAAATATTTCAGTCTGGACTAAAGTGCTGGACTGACATCTCCATCCCTAAGGGCATGTCGCTAGCATGGCTAAAAACATTCACTGTTGTTGCATTCATACGTCCAAGTTTTATTTTCGATAACAGCATGAATGCAATGCCTTTTGTTGGCACAACCTTGAGAGAGCCGCCAAGAACGTCTGCAGAACGAGCCAACAAATAAGGGTGACAAAATATTCTCTGGGATAACTTACCTATTTCAAAGTTTAAAGGCGATGTATTGAGCAGTTTTGGACATATTTTAGTCTGGACCAAAGTAGTGGTCCAACTGATCAACAGACTGACATTACGACCCACACTGCTAATGTGGCTAACAAGTACTAGCTTGTAAGAAACTGCTCACCCAGTATGCCTGCTGTTACATAGCTTCCAGGGCTGTGCATCTCCATCACTCAGGCTGATGCGATACTCTGTGTCACATCCAATACATTGCCGACGATCTGATACATTACAGATACATTTGAAACAACTACAGAATGCAATTCGGAATTTCCCCATTGTGGGACAAATAAAGGAATATCTTATCTTATCTTAATATAATGAATCCTGAAAGAATGTGTTGCTATCCTAAGAAGCTTGAGAAACAGTTTAGAGAGGATGTCTCAATATTGATCACAAATTATTGGTCACATTTCTAAATAATAAAGCATAAGGCCTCTACTAACAATTAATGAACTGATAAATAAATCAGATTTTACTGATGCAAAGGTTTTAGAAATAATGTATCCTGAGTTCATCCCAAAATTTACACACTTAACCATGGCAATCGTATCTGGACCTTTTATGCCGGTGCACCGATGCAAATCTGTGAATCTTAACATCCCAAATATCTTCACTTAATGATTTGTAGCCCTATTTTCAGGGAGTCTTAGTTTACTCCTATTTCATTTATTGATTTCCCAAAGTGAGCTTGGATAAACCCCAGCTGTTACCTGCTAACTATGGATATACAGTGTGTGTATACGTACAATTGTTTGTGTGATAAACTGGTTTCTCAGTCTCTTCTATATTTAATTATTGTATAATTACAATTAAATATACATTGGCAGCTCTGGAAAGAAGCTGTTTTTCTCTTGATTCTGTGTAAGCGACACAGCTGGATATGGTTTTATTTTTCTTGTGAGCACCTCCTGTGCTTCCACTGATCACCTGCTCTCTCTCTCTCCCTGCTTCCTCCTGGGTCTGCCGGCGAGCCGCTTGAAGCAAACTCCACAGCTGTGGCAGACTGGAGTGATCAGAAGACAAGTCAGCGTCTCATACAAAAGAGTGTGTTGAAGAGTGAACAAGGCTGAGGCTCCATGACATGTGGGGTTGTAGCCCTGGCACTGTGTCTGTCTATCTGAGGGATCCCTTTTCTGTGGCTCATAGAGCTGCTGATAAATTTGACTTGACCCGACTTGAATGTGAAACAGTGTGAAATTCATTATGTAAAAGCATTTTTTGTATAATAAATGTGTTTACTGACTAACTTCTTCTGCTCTGCAGCCTGTTCTGGCACTATTTTTGAAGAGCATTGCCCTGTTCCATCTGATACAAAGACCTGACATTTAATGTTGATCTAGAAGTTGTAAATAGCTGAGGCGTTATTGTGCTGTGAAACCGCAGTAAGTTGGAAATAACTTGATGTTGTCTAAGTCTGGATAGTTATCTGCAGCAATAAGAAAAATATACCACTGAACACATCAGACCCAGAAATGGATGGTGCAATGTCAATAGCTTTTTTTGAGTTGAAGTGTTTTAGAGGGTATTATCTTTCAACAATTTCTACAAGTCTGTTCATACTGCTCCGACTTGAAATAAGTGGAGGTTAGTCAATCCTCCCTCCTCCTGCAAGCCCCTGGTCTCAGTTGATACATGAATCTGTCAGAAACTCCAGCTCCTCCCTGATGAATGCCTCCAGCAGCAGCCTCAGGGACGTCAGTGCATGCAGCTGCTGGCCCGGCTCTTCTGGGTTTTCCTACCCTCGTCTTCACAGCAGATGTAGCAGCTTTGTGATGCCACCTCTCATAAGGGGCTGCCTCAGGGAGGCACAATGCATCAACTCCAGCGGGTTATGGAATCAGATATGGTGAACAAAGGTGTAGACGATCTCCTAAGGGGCCTCTTAAAAACAAAATATCAAGTATTATGTTATAAGTAAATATATATATAGCTATAATCAATATCTTTATTTTAACAACAGATCGAATCACTATGTGTAATGTAAAGGGGGGCACTCTGTAGTTCTGCTCAGCTCTACTGAGCACTTTAACATCTTTTAGCTCAATCTTTTCCCACCTTTACAGTTTTGGTTCAGTTACACCTCTCTCACAAGCACTGTGTGAGCTGTTTTTAGCTAGAAAGGTCTAAAAACCAACTGTACACTACCTGCTCAGACAAAGACAGGCAGATATTTTTACCTCAGGAGTTGGTGGAGACCGAAACAGAGCTAATAGGAGAGTGAATATTTAACTTACATTCATCAGGTGGACAAAAACTGAGAATACACCAGCCATAACATTATGATCACTCATCGCTCACTGATGTACGTGGGGAGTTGTCATGAACGGGAAAATTAGCTACAGGCCGAAGCCATTTATTGTACCAGTCTATCAACATGTTTATTTCTGCTGTAAAGTTGAGAATTTTAACATGGGCTCTTTCTTGTCAAAACCTGGTGCCTACTCAGAAGTCAGATTTGGATGTGTTATGCGGTTAGTGCCTGCATTTTTTACATTTTCAAACGTTTTAGTCCCAATCGTTAATCAGACTGTATGCAGAGCTACACTCCCCAACAACTGTAAACTGTAGACTTTAATATGTAAAATCAGAGGCGAAAAAATATATATTAAATACAACTAAAAATATCTGAAACCATCTGCATGACTAGATGCCATTATGCACAAAGCTGTTTTTTGTTTCGTTTGTTTTTTAATTTGGGTGAACTGCAAACACAAACATCCATCCTCTTCCACCCCTTCACTATAATCAAGCTATAGTAGACTTACTTTCTTCAGTCATGAGGCATCCGCTGCATTGTTCATCACAGTTTTTAATGTCAGCAACAGATGTTTATTGGCTGGATTTAAAAATGACCAGGTTTGGAATTCAGAGGGCCAATAGTTACCTTTGTACAGGCCCTCAAAATCACTAACTCTGCTCCTGTATGCAGTGAAGAGCCTTCCTCTGACACACCCACATTCTCAGCTCTACAGAATATATAGAAAACTCAGAAAAATGCATAATCAGCCTCTGTAGCTTCCTGGGAATAAAAGGTGGTAGGTCAAAACTCTAGTCATCCTGAAAAAGTCAGTACCATACAGTAGTTGCTTTAGTGCTTGGAGCTGCAGCCCTGCTGTCTGGCTCAAACATGCCCTGACCCCACACCTGGACAAGCAGGTGTAGGACAGCAGGCCTGACCCACATGTCCTGAAGCCCACAGGCTTCTTATGGACCTCTGCAGGAAAAGTAGAGGCATGGAAACTGCAGCCAGCTGATGCTAGTCTGCTCTGTGTGACAGCTGAAAGCAGCAGCCCGAACACAGAGAGACGAGGCTGAAATTGTGGCCTCATCCCACCGGACCCAGGTGTAACCAGAACAATTTACACTCATGTCTCATGGCTCTGCAGGCTGTACGAACTGTATTAGTTTATTTAAAGCTTTCTGCCACCATCAGCACACCTCTTCAAACTACCAGCAGCAGCAAACAGCCCCATCCTGGCGATACTAAAGTACACAGTGCCATCTTGTGGCCGCTCGGCCCTATTGCTGGCCTGAGAGGGTGGAGCTAACATGAGGAGGACTTTGTCTAAACTTGCTCCGTTCCTTTAGGTGTCCTATCAGGAAATTAGGCCGACATGGTTCTTGAGGAGCTGGCCACCCGTCTCAACGACAGAGAGTATAAGAACTGGCTGAAAGCAGGCCGGTGTCTGCTCTTACTGAGGGATGGGCTGCACCCCTTCATCAGCCAACGCATGAGAGCTTTCCACGCAGACCTGATCAATCAGAACAGTCTGCTGCGGAAACCCTGTGAGACCTCTTCATGCAGGCCCAGAGGGACTAAGGTTGGATTAGTCTGTACATTAAGCTTATTCCTAATTTAATTCTTGTTTTTGTGGAACTTAAATGTGGTCGTGAGTCCCCTGTGGCATCCTGTAGTAACATGATTAAGTGTGTGTGTGCGTGTGTTTGTGTGTGTGTGTAGTTTCTACCATGCAGGGCTTGTTCAGAGTGGCAAACAGTGATCCTGAGACACCACAGACAGCGAGCGACAGCCACAGTGAACTGGGAGAACTGTTTCCCTCCCCACTGGAGGACAGACTACTGGGAATTGGCCAAGGTAGTCCACACACACACACACACACACTTTACTTATATCTGCTGTGAGTAGCATTTAATATTATCAGGCTATTACTACATTATGTATGACGCCGTTGAATAGTTGTCATCAGTTGCCTCATCACCAAGTTGACACTGGCTCCCTTACCCACCCTGAATCCATGTGGTACTTACATGCACATCGCTTGGATTTTATCTTAAACAATGTAAATATAAATATGTGTCACACTGCTACCCTGCACATTCCCTGGACAACATTTTGGACATTCCTGTAAGGCTCTTTCTTTATTCATTTATTTAAGTAACGGTCATATCATATATAATGTCTCTCTTTTGTATATATTGTCTCTTATTCATCATCTCTATTTTATCTTTATATATTCTCTTTATCTTTATATTTTTCTATCTTTAATTGTTATGCACAACTTTGCCAAGGCAAATTTCTTGTATGTGAATACCTACTTGTCAATAAATCGGATTCTGGTTCTGGCCTTTTACTCTCTATTTCTTTAATTTACAGGAAATAAGAATTATTGCTTTATAGTACAAACAAGTAAAACACCGCGTGTCTGTCTGTCCAAGGGATCCCTTTTTTTTCTGTGGCTCATAGAGCTGCTGATAAATTGAATTCATAGATTGTGGCATCTGAGTTTGTTTCACTTGTGAAACAGTGTAAATTTCATTATGTAAAAGCATTTTTT